AGATTCGTCAATTTTCACTTACAGATCCTGGACGGAGACAGACCCTGCATAGTTAATTTCAGGATGTGAACCGTGCATGTATTTCAGAAGCGCGGAGCTACTCCCCTCTATCTCATTATCATTGCAATGCTGGGCTAGAGCATGCGATCCATCCTCTGGATATCCAAAGTTCCTAAAACAGCTTGTTTTAATACAAACATCGTCGCGAAGTACTTCATTCATAAAAAGGGCTCTCTTCCTTTTCGTATCCGAACTGCGGACCACTTATTGAGAATCTATTTGGAGATTATTTCAATAAGGAACTTGGGCAATGTGTGTCAACGCTGCAATCCATAGGGAGACTTATATGGTTATTACTGCTATGACTGTATTGCATAACCAGACAATCGCTAAACAACATGTTTGACTAACACAAAAGAAATTGTGTTTTTAATATACAACATCCCCGACGGGGGGGCAGAGGATTTTTCCTCTAGCCTCTGCGTCCAGACCGGCTCTGGGGCCCACCCAGCCGAGGAGGCCGGGGCGTGATGCTGACCACTCACCCCCATCTAGTGCCGAGGTCAAGGAAGAGAGGAGCTATACGTCCACTCCCCCCAAACGCCTACATGGCGTATAGTGGGAGAAACTTTTTTTTTAATCGGACAATAGTGCTACTTTAAAAAAATTCAATATCTGAACTTAATATACATGTTTATAATAATTTTAAGTTTTATATACTATTATATATATATATATATACATCCTGTTGAAAGGAAAATGATTTTCATGTTACGTCATGTATGAATATATCGAAAGAAATAATGCTTCAAAAATATAATATTCGTATGATAAGAAGTATTCAAACAAGAATCAATCCGTAAGTCTCTCTGTGTATAACTTACTTAGTTAGTATTCACACATATTCTAGTTTCTGAGATAATCACCGACATACTACGTGTCGCTACACGCTAATGAACGTTGCAACAGAATTGTGCTTTTCACGAGCTGAAAACGCGAAATATGACAACACATTAAATCAGCCTGTAACTTTAATAATTTTAAGGTTTACATGAGTCATGTTTGTGTTTTGGATTAAAATATATAATAAAATACAGGTCAATACACAAAACTATATTTGGGTGTTAAAATTTAAAATTTAAATGTTAAAATTTAAAATTTAAAATTAGCGCTATTCATCACTATTGAAAGGCATGCATTTAATATAAAACAGTTTTAAATAAAAAACAACACCTGAAGATGATGTATTACATCGAAACATGTTGTGAAAAGTAATGAAAGCGCGCAAATGTAACATCCTTATAGTGATGAATAGCGCTAATTTAAAAAAAATTAAATTTTAACATTTAAATTTTAAATATTAACACCTAAATAAAAGTTTTGTGTATTGACCTGAATTTTATTATATATTTTAATTAGATAAAATAATAATATTAATCGGACAATGGTGCTAGTTTAATCCATACATTTTATCTGACTTAATGTACATGTTTATGATAATTTTAAACATTTCCCTTTAAGTTTATGAACCACCCTTTCCGAAACTTGAAGAATTGTCTGTAATGTAGCCGAGGACTAATATTTTACGTTTTGCGTTCTGAGTTCAGTGCCACTAAATACTTAATGTATTTTACCGTTCATACGTCCTTTTGAAAGGAAAATGATTTTCGTGTTACGTCATGTATGAATATCTCGAAAGAAATAATGCTTCAAATATATAATATTTTTATGATAAGAAGTATTCAAACTACCATCAATCAGCAAGTCTCTTTGTGTATAACTTGCTTCGTCTGAATTGACACATATCTTAGTTGCTGCGATAATCACCGACTTACTACGTGGTCGTTGCACCCGAAAGAAAGTTGTAACAGGAATGTGCGTTTCCCGAGCTGAAATCCCGATATATAACAGCACAATAATTCAGCCTGTAGCTATTAGAATATTAATCGGAAAATAGTGCTACTTTATACCATCCAATTTCTGACCCTAATGTATATGTTTATAAAAACTGGAAACATTTCCCGTCGACATTACGAAACACCATTTCTGACAGTTTAATGTAGCCGGTGACTAATATTTTGCGTTTTACGCTCTGAGGTCAGTGCCACTAAATACTGATAATATTTTACCGTTCATACGTCCTGTACACAAGGAAAACTTCTTATAATTCGCGACACTTCGAATTGAGTGGTAGTCAATGCAAGTACCATGAGCTTTAGCAACTTTTAACTACGAACTGAGGCAGTTAACGGATACGCCGTGATCTAGCGGCAACTTCTTCGACAACTTCGTACTGCAGGGCAATATGAACAACTGCTGGCAGGTGTTACATAAAGAAACAAAGAGCTAAACTTTCAAAATAAGTAAATCTTTGTTTCCTTTTCAGTCTGCGTTATTCTATTTACTTTCTGATACTTCCTTGTTTCAATTTTTATTTATTTCTCTCTTGCTTTTTATTTATTTCTCGTATTTTATTTGTTCCTTTCGGATCTTATTCTTTCGTTTATGTATTGATATCTTTGTGTTCATTTATCTATCTTTCTATCTTACTTTTTAGCCTTGAATTTACAAATAATTATGCTGAACCCTGTGATTCGTGCAAGATGGTTATAAAACTCTCTTAATTTATCTTATCGTTCGCGACATCCTGTAGCTAACAAAACTAACCAGGCGCCATGTCGCATCTCTGTTCAACTCGTAACACTGAACATCAATTCCCACTCTGAGGGATCAGCACATTTCTAAACTGTTAGAGGACGCAATCGAAAAAGTGGCAATATTTGGAGCATAAGAGGCAACTGAAAGAATTATAAAATGTCTTAACCTGGGCTTTATAAATCGTATTCTTCACTTAATATTATAAGGTAATTACAACTTGTATGCGATGCACAGAATATGTAGCACGCATAGGAAATATGAGATAGTCATAAAATCTAAAGGAAAAATACCACTTGGAATAATCATGCATAGATTGCAATGTAATATTAAAATGAAGATGTGTGTCTTCAGAGATATTGTGTTATAGGCAGTAAGCACCGCTGAAATATTATTTAGTAACTACCAGATTATCATCAATTGGTATCCATCAGTGTAACATCTCAGAAAACTGTCTTCATATTTATCGCCTTGAGAATGGTAAATCCTACAAATGTAAATGAGCCAATGAACAGAGATAATCACCATTAGCAAGCTTGATTTCCTTGTACATGATAACCTGCATGCCTGCCAGTCTTTAGTTCATTGCCAGGTCAGAGATTGTTTTAGAAATTGAAGAATCAACTGCTCTGTATAAGTTTACAAACCTCTTCATCAAACAAGCACATATGTACAATTAAAATGCTGTCATACACTTCGACTTCCGAAAGAAAAAGTTGTCAGTGCAACCACGGATCCGGAGAATTTGAAGTAAATACGTCTTTACGGAGAGGAAGTTTATATATTGGCTTTATTCTAAATAGTTCCTTTATACATGCTTTACAATTGAGTAAAGTTTGATTAAGACAATGCTTATTTAACTTGAATTAGTAAGGCTTCAGATGGGTCTGCGGTAGATGAATGTAATGTAAGGTAAGGTAATGTAAGGTAAGGTAAGGTTAGGTAAGGTAAGGTAAGGTAAGGTAATGTAATGTAATGTAAGGTAAGGTAAGGTAAGGTAATGTAATGTAATGTAAGGTAAGGTAAGGTAAGGTAATGTAATGTAATGTAAGGTAAGGTAAGGTAAGGTAATGTAATGTAATGTAAGGTAAGGTAAGGTAAGGTAATGTAATGTAATGTAAGGTAA